GATCGCTATCACTTGAAACTGGCGGAATCCGGGTCTGTTGCTCTTGGTCATTCTAAGCTCTTTGCTAAAGGTTTAATCATAACAGTTACAATGGTTTCTATTTCAAACTATAGTAAACTAAAGGTTGAAACTATAGTTTAAAATAGAAGATGAGTGGGCCTCGCTACTCCCACCCACCATAACCCTCGCAGCGAGGTCCCACTACCAGCCGCCCGTCTTTCCCTGAGGGTCCTCGGGGGTTGTTTGCTCCCTGCCTAGGGCTCAAAGGCCGCCTCGCTGACAGAGCACACGAGCTTTATAGGAATGCATATGCAAATTTTTACAAGGCACGTCACTGTTGTCTCGCTGTCATGGCGAGCGCTGAGGAGGGCTCACCTGATTGGACCACAGAGACTCGGGAATCTGCGTCAGGGCGTGTGCGTGTGCGCGCGCTGTCGTCCGGAGGTGTGTGTGTTTGTGTGTGAGTGTGTGTGTGTGTGTGTGCGCGCGCGTTGTCGTCCGGAGCAGGGTTAAGTGCGTGTGTGTGTGTGTGTGTGTGTGTGTGCAATATGCGTGTGTGTGTCTGTGAAAAGAGCAGAGTGAGAAGCTAGGAGATCCCTCAACTGATTTTGAGTTTTTGCTCAATAAAATAGTTAGTTGTCTGTATTTTCAAGTCCATAGTCTATTTACATTGACCCACTGGCAGCTAAAATCCACGCCTACACTATCGAGCGTGTATGAACTGTGATTACTTTTATATTGCTGATTAGCTGTTTGGCATTTCGCTCTCTGACTGAAGGCAGTCGACCAATCGCAACAGACTGTCATCGGTCCAATCAGCGCAGATTAGCTTCGCGCTTAGGAGGGGTTTGGGAACAAATGAATCACTGGACGATTCATACAGGAGTCGCTGGGATAATTGGGTAAAAATAAATGCAGATTATAAGACCACAAAAGTGTTTTTTGACCTTGCATGCATATTAAACGGTTGTTGGAGACCCTTACAACCAAGATATGACCCTATTTCATGTATAATATGGGCTCTTTAATTCTTAGCTAAAAACTACTAACTACTGCAATGGATGATCAACAGTAAAAATGTAACATTTTACCACTTCACAACAGGGAAAACCAGCAACAACCAAGAATGCATGATTATTTGCTGTATTGGCTTTGCAAAAAAAAAAAAAAAAATCATTATAATGGAAGACAATGGCGCAAAAACAGCCACCAACGTAATAAAAGGGTAGTAAATTTGCCCAGAGTGTGTTGTTGAACCTTTTTAAATATCCAAAGCATTTTCCTAAAACATGTCAAAATAAGATTTGTCACCAAAGATCAAATCATCAAACACAGAGAAAGTTGTGGCCAAATTAAGTCTCAAAATCACCCCAGAGTGGATGAAAATATGCCCAACAGCACACAAGGGTTAAGAGGCAATTCATTACAATTATTAACTACTTTCAGCCCATACCTCAACACTGCACTGTGAAAATAAAGGATAAGAAAGTAGCTGGTCAAGAGCAGCGAATTAATCTCTTATTTAGATTTTCTTGTTTAACAATACATAAGAGAAGTGTCACTTTAAGAATGCACAGATTTATAACAAGACTATTTGATTGCTTTCCTGTCTCTGTATGCTCAAGACATCATTGTGTTATGACGCAAAGATGGACCTTTACATATTATTATGAGTATTAGCCTGTTTACACACACCCAAATAGTATTAATACTAATTTGACTGATTTGATGGTTGTATTAGGAACATTAACAGAATATCAATCTGAAGGAAAAATACAATGAACTCAAAATAGTTTTGGAGACAGATAACCTACTACTAATGCCACATAAATTGCCAAACATAACATTTTTTTTCAAGACATTAAAAAATAAAGCACAAAGCTAAAGATCTCGGTTAGATGTCACATTATTTCCAAACCTTATTTTTCAAAATGGTTGTTTCACTTCTTTTAAATGGAAGTTCCCCAAACAGGAAGTGCAACCCATAATTTGAAACACAGTCACTTGTAGATATAAGTGGATAACTAAATGAAAACATACCGTTTACATAAAAATACAAATTATGGTCACCCACAAGTCATTAGATTTGCAGGTGTAATGCTCTGAGCGTCAAGCATGTAGGCCAGTTACCTAACCGAATAAATTATGAATCAGGTCAGGAACGCAACAAATGTGTGCTAACAGGCCTGTTATGAAGTGAGTGACAAACAAAGCTAAAAATATGGCATTTCTGCTTGTTCATGGATGAGGTAACGGAGCCAAAGAGGAAGCACTTTGTCTTCTGGATGAAGTATTCAAAACTTGCATTATGCATGGAATTAGACACTTGAAACAATTGTGGATATTAAAAAAAAATTATAATAATAAAATTTAGCTATTTCTCCCTCTAATGTTGTCAAGGTCTATTCGTCAAAGTCATTTCTGTATGCGTAGGATTACTTTGTATGATTACAGTTGAAACACTGAAGTCATGTGGAATGTTTTTGGTTTCTTTTCTTTACATTAAACATTAATCCAAGATTACAAATATGCCGAATTTAGCATACATGCTATATAAACAGGTCATTGCAACCTAGTTAATGATTTAGCCTTATTTTGTTATAATTTCTGACATAAAAATAACAATTATCTGCTGGGTAAGTAATTTATACTTGCAAAAAATGCAGCTGAATTTATCACAAATAAGTTTTATTGATGTGTGGTTTTTCTTATGCAATAAATAAATACTGTAAATAATTTAATGACTGAGTGGGTAAATGAATGAAAACAGGAGAGAAGGCAACTGGATTATTTAAAAAGACAGTTTTACTAAAATGTTTTTTGAATATATTTGCTACACATACATTAAAATATTAAGGCAATAATGGTAACAAATGTACAATTACAACCCTATATATATATATATATATATATATGGTAAGTACTCTATTAAGTATATATATATATATATATATATATATATATATATATATATATATATATATATATATATATATATATATATACATACATACATACATACACAATTCAGATTTTTGGCTTTTTGTATAGCGCTTTTACAATGTAGATTGTGTCAAAGCAGCTTCACATAAATGGTCATAGTAAGTGGATCAGGGTAGTTCAGTTTTTAGTGTTTAAGTTCAGTTCAGTTTAGCTCAGATCAGTGTGGTTTAAAATCGAGTCCAAACACTGAAGAGCAAATTCATAGATGTGTAGCTCTACCAATCCCAAACCATGCAAGCTAGTGGCGACAGCGGAGAGGGAAAAAAAACTTCACTGAGGCGAGTGAAGAAAAAAAACCTTGAGATTAAACAGACATTTTAATTTCTCTGCTGGCCAAAAGTCTTGTGCAGAGCTGCAGTCTCAGTGGTGGAGGCTGGGAGCTAGCCTCACTCGTCTGTCCCTGGATCATCACTGGAATCAGTCTCATGTTCTCCACTCCTCCATGACCGGCGCAGCAGCTGCTCAGGATACGGCCTGGTCCCGGATATGGAAACCTTGGGATCATCACGTCGCTCGCTGGTCTTGGATCCAATCAGTGACTTCACATAATCTGAGGACCTCGGGATGAGTGTCCCCAGGTGGAAATGGAGAAAAAAAAAGAAAATAATTAGCGTAGCTGCTGTTCATAGTGTATATAAGCAAGATGCAGAAACTTGTGTGGAAACCCGCTAAGTGATGCACTGAGTATATATATATATGAGCAATATTACTCGAGTAGCAGTGCAATGTGGCTGTATATCGTCACTGGTATATCGGCCAGGCGTGCGCGACCGAGTGCCAGCCTACAGCCACATCGCACTGTTATGAGTGTGATATTTTGTTTATACAACAGTTTGACAGCATAATTGTGTATATAAAAAAGAAAATCAAACACAGAGATTCTTCAAATCCTTTTGCAAGAAGAACTACTTTCTCACACTATTGATACACATCTGCAGCCGACATCAGAACATCAGAAACCATTGCCAGTTCACCAACGTCACTTAGAGCTAGTATTTGAATGATTCTGATGTGTAATGTCTGAAGTGATGACAAAACAGGTGATTTTGCTCACATTTTAACATTATAAGGCTGAACAGCATGAAATGCCATCAGTCTACAGAAATTTCCCAGTGTATCTTTGTTGCAATCGGGAGATCACAATATTACTTTGGTATAAATACAGCACTACAACATACAAATTAGACTTACTTAGAAAGTCATTTACCTGTGATTTGATCAGCTGTATTTACACTTTTTCTCTTAGGGCTTATTATGCAGTCTCTGTCGACATCTTGTGGATGAACATGGTCAATCATTTTTGCTCAAAGACAGGCTAATGGCCGCCGACGCAGTTTTTCAGAAATTCTAAATATTTTAAAATTGGTACTATCCTTAAAAATAAACTGCATAGTTACAATCTAAACAACAACATTCTCAACTAAAAAGGCCTCAAAAGTACATTATGTTGTCATACAGCTGCAATATTTGTCAAACAGTAGAGTGTCCTCTGCTTGTGGCTGTATGTGAGCGGAGGAATACACAACGCTGAAGGGTTAAAAGGCTGTACAGTGCTGTTATTAGCAGAAATTCGCACGGCTATCAGCCAATCAGATTCAAGAACCAGACAGAACTGTTATTAACAAAATTATTAATATGATTAATTAATCATTTACCTTAAATTTGTATATCATTCTAGTGAATATTTCAGAAAAATTTTCCTTAAAATATTTAGATCTTCTTAAATATTTTGTATAATGTTTAAAATACAGATAAATTTAAGTAATTAAATGTATTAAACTATTATAGGTTATTTGGTTACAACAGCATTTTAGTATTCTTTCTTTCTTTCTTTCTTTCTTTCTTTCTTTCTTTCTTTCTTTCTTTCTTTCTTTCTTTCTTTCTTTCTTTCTTTCTTTCTTTCCCCAACAATCACCGATGTACCTCATTCATAACCAGAGTACTTTTATTTGACATTTAAAGCTCAAAGACTTTTATTTTGAAAGCTCAATCTTCCGTGCATGTTTTACAAAACCCGTCTTGTCGTTGACTTCACGCAGCTCCTGAGCAAGAGGGGCTAATATGTCGATGGAGGATCCTTTTTTCGTGGTTAAAGGGTAAGAAAAGTTACAATCCTCTTCCCTGTACATGTTTCTGTCGTCCATCTTTGTCTGAATGACATGACGTTAATACTGACAGGTTAATTTGATGGTCAGTGAGGCATCTTCATCACTACCTGTAGCCACAGTTAATGTCACATTATTGTTTTCATGTGACTTTACTAATCAACAACCATCATGCTTTAATAAACAGGAATATATAAATGTTAATAAGTGATTTAGATATCTGGAAGGTTAAACGAAGTCTGAAAAGCACTCTGTTGACAAGTGTAAAAACACTGATTTATGCTACATGTCATTCATTAAACGTACTGATACTAAACTAAAGTTATTGAGGTAAAGTTGCTTTTATATTCGGACATTTGTTCAGTGACAACTTGTGACATGCTTCCCTTTTTTACCGTGGTACTTTGAGAATTCTGAAATCAGATTTAAGAATGACTTGTAAACAAACTTAGCACTGTTTATTTGACTGAACAAGGTTGTATTTTGATAGTCATTGGCAGCTAATATAATTTCACTATTTAGAATTAGCAAATAATACTTTACTGAAAGTATATTATTAAGGAGAAAGTCCAATTTTGTGAATATAAATCTGTCAATATTTGTTAAATAAAAAAAATAATGGCTGATGCGTTGACACAGCAGGTGAATATAGAGGTAAAGTTGGTTTTATATGCGCACATTTATTAATTCAGCAGTGTCTATACTGTTAACCATGTTACGTTGAATATTTGATCAAAATTAGCATGCAAGTATGACTTCTAAACAACATTAACACTTTCTAATTGACTGTGAACAATGCTGTACTTTAATGGTCATTTGCTGCTCATATGATTTCCTTATTTAGACTTTCCACAGATTACTTTTCTGAGATATTATTAGTAAGGAGAATGTCTGAATATCCGAATATAAAACCAACTTTACCTCTATCAGGTGAATAGGGTAAAATAATATAATTGATGATTATCACCAGATTTCCAAGTTGATTAACACGGTTAGAATTGCTAGTTTTTTGTATACGTTTTCTCAAATGTTGAGTTTAAATATGCAAAATGAGGCAGTACTTAAAGAAACGTGCTTCACTAAGGAAAATAATTTAAACAGTGTTAGAAATCATGTTCAATAATCTTGTTATTTCTTTTTTTGATACAGTAGGGTCAATGATTTTTTCAAAGGCATTTTAGGAATCTCTAATTTTCACGCCATTATTCAGAAAACACTGCAAAGTCCTAAAAAAAAGTCAAAAATTTTTGCAATAAATATAAAACCAGCTGAGGTGTGTACTGATTTATATATATATATATATATATATATATATATATATATATATATATATATATATATATATATATACACACACACACACACACACACACACACACACACACACACACACACACACACACACACACACACAAAGATACATACTTTTAAAAGTTTTTCCAAAAAAAAAAAAATTTAAATAAATAAATAAATCTACAGACATGCATTGACAGTCAGGCAAAAGCAGCACTTAAAAGTTACTTCACTTTAGACTGACAAAAAGCCAGTGGGCCCAAAATCTCAAAACTGACAGATGCAAAAAAATAAAAAATATATATATATAAAAAAAAAATAAAACGCTGTCTTTTACTGCCATTTCCCACACCAATCTCATTACAAAAATAATTATAAAACTCAACTAGGCCAGCACAATATTGGAAAAATTTTGATATTTTGTTATTCTGCTACATATTTTGGGATATGAATACAATTTCATCAGATGGCTTGAATGGCTCTATTTGGAAATAGTTGATCATTTTAGATATCAATTATATATGCATATATCATGTATATATAACTTGCATAATCTCTCTTACTGAAAGAGACTTACAGATCTTGCTTATGCTTTGTATTTTCCCCCCTTTAACAACAACAACAACTATGAACAGTAAAACACGGGGAGCTACAAATCCTTTAGAAGATTGCCTTTAAAGAAGAAAAAAATATCATGTTAAATAAATTTAAAAGTTACAATTCAGGAAAAATACAGGTATATTGGTAAAAAAAATACTAAATCCACTTACTCCAAATTAGAGAAAAGTAGTGTTCTTAATGAGAAAATCGTGACATGTATAGTGTGCACTGTATCAATCCATTCTTCAACTTTAGGTGATTCTAATTTTAACCATTGTTTTTGTAAATGTTTTTTACTAGCTGCCAGAAGGATCAATAACAGTTTCATGTCTTTATTAATACATCCATTTAAATTTATATTACCCAAATATAAAGATGCACAAGTGAAGGCAATCTCTACTTCAAAAATGGCATCTAATTGTTTTTTAATCTCAATCCAGTTTGGGGTTAAATTCTGACAATCCCAAAAAAACATGATCATTTGCATACAATCTAATAAACAATCTACATTGTTTATCCAAGTCTAACAGCATTCAGGTACAGTAGTTGAATTATAAAAATACAAATAATTCAATAAAATTAATCCTTATTGAAGTTACGAATGGCACAGTTTATTATACCGGAATGCTTTTAAAATCATTATACAGTCATGGAGATCAAAAACACAGCCACATCATAAATTATAATACAAACTCAACATTGCATAACCTGCAATGTGACTATTGCAAATGATCACATTGCGATATCAATGCTGAAACGACATATTGTGCAGCCCTAAACTCAACCCAACTTAATAGAAACTACCACCAACTTAGTGCACATGTGCAAGTTGTTTGCTATAGATAAACAAGTAGAAAGGCTTTGACAGTTTGCTTGTCTTTCTGGCAGGGAGGTGCAGAAGGCCCTGTCGAAAGCACAGGGTTTGTATGAGCGCTGGGAGGAGTTGCTGCAGGAGGAGACCCCCGTCAGCAGAGATGAGCTCGACTGGAGCACCAATGAGCTCCGAAATTGCCTGAGGGCCATCGACTGGGACCTGGAAGACCTACATGAAACCATCAGTATCCTGTTGAAAACTGAAGACCTGTGATGCTTTTAAACTTCAGAATGTTACACAAAATGGCTCTGTATTGGGAAAAAAAAGATATTGGGCTGACAAAAGAAAGGAAAAGGGATTTTTATGAATCTTATTTTTTTTTAAAGTCACAGTTTTTTTTGTTATCTATGAAAGAAGCCACATTGTGCAGTGTTATTACAATTAAAAATTTTATTACATACAATTATTATAATTAACTTGTAGTTTAGATTAATTTCTAGATATTTCATTCTGTGTTCAGGATATTTATTATTAATAGTGTTAATAATTATATGAAAACTAAGATACATTTTTTTCAGTATTATTTGATGAGCAGAGAGTTTTAAAGAGTACAAATCCTTGGCTATTATTAAGGACTTGACTGTCAGTTCCTCTGTCTTTTCACTGTATAGAACAGTTCATTGCTTAAATCTTTCTGACCTCTTGCTATTTAAATTAAAACCATTATTTTGTATAAATTGGGTATTTATTAAATACACAAAAAATGTCAGATATGTCAAATAACCTTTGTGGAAAAAATAGTAAAATATTTAAATGATGTTACACGATTTATTGTAAAATACTGTATTTATGTAAAAAAAAATGCATTCTAATCTGTACTTATTAAAATGTATAAAAGAATAAACAAGACCGACAGACAGACAGACAGACAGACAGATGGATGGATAGATAGGAAGATGAATGGATAGATAGGCAGATGGATAGATAGATAGATAGACAGACAGACAGACAGACAGACAGACAGACAGACAGACAGACAGACAGACAGACAGACAGACAGATGGATAGATAGATAGATAGACAGATAGATAGGAAGATGAATGGATAGATAGGCAGATGGATGGATGGATGGATGGATGGATGGATGGATGGATGGATGGATGGATAGATAGATAGATAGATAGATAGATAGATAGATAGATAGATAGATAGATAGATAGATAGATAGATAGATAGATAGATAGATAGATAGATAGATAGATAGATAGATAGATAGATAGATAGATAGATAGATAGATAGGCTGGGGGCGGGCAGGGGAGAAATTTCTTTTAGAAGTTATTGAAATACTTAATCTAAATAATATATTTGGTATATACTGTAAGCTGTTGTTACACTGAATAAAAAAATAGAGAGATTTTTATTGGAAATCTAATATATATATTTTTGCTTTCAATAATAGTTTTTTTTTTTGGACTCATATGCAGAAGTTGGTTTAGTCCTTGACCGTATCAGGTATTGTGGAGGCGAACCCTGGAAAGTTCCGATTAGGAGAACATGAACTCCAGGAGAGACGAGACTTTGTGGAAAGAACACGGAAATCCGTTCAGGTGCCAATCATTCTCCTCCACACACACAGACATATATTCTATTTATTATTATTTATTTCTATATGAATGTTTCTGTGTATCTCTCTGTAGCTAATGAAGGAGCAGCTCTCCAGTCCCTCTGCTGTGGCACAAGCGGAGAAGAAAAACAAACAGGTGAGTTCATTCTGTTCTTTGTTCAACTGAATGGATTGATATGGTGATGTTTGCTGGTGTCAACAGCACTGTCTCTGACAGGCTCTGCTCGGGGCCACAGCAAAGGACCGATACGCCGGTCTGGAGCCTCATCTGGTGTCTGCAAACTCCAGATATATTCAGGAGCAACAGGAGCAGCAGCAGGTATGACACAGGGGCTCACATTGCACTTATCATGAAATAGTATTGACAATATTCACAAAGTGAGTTGAACAAACTCTGGGTTGCAGAACAAGTCTCAAGATCAAAGGTTTATTGTTTCACAAAAATTGATATAAACTTTTTCTGATAACTCTTGGTTTAATCCAGAGTTTGTGATTATGCAAGTGCAGCAAACAGCTAATCAAAGGAGACATGAGAGCAGCAGTTTGATTAATTTCTCACAAGAGAGTCAAAAATTCACCTCTCTGTTAAAGATTAAGAGATAACATTATCAGAAATATAAAGTTTGATGAGGCAACTTAAAGCTAATAGTGCTATATCAATGCAAATCAATTTGCAGATTTTATTAATGTTGATTTAAAAACAGCTAAAAGACAGCCATTTTAAAAGCCTAATTCATTTAAGCAAATTTAAATATTTAAATGTAAAGTTTATTTTTCAGACATTATTAATATTAATTGACAATTAAAAACTATTTAAATCTATCCTCTTAAGACCCAAGGTGTTTTTTACATGCATTTTTTATTTCTCTTTGCTATTTGGGCTTATTGGAACGTAATTAGAATAAAAGTATCATCTTTTGATATGATGTACTTTTGGAGAAAAATGGTGTCTATATATGTGGACTCATGGTCCGAATTCACATAAAACACTTTTTCCCTGAATTTTTTTTATGCATATTTAACATATAATTTTTTTTTTTACTTGCTTTGACTATCTGAGAGGAAAAACTAAATTTTTTCCCATTTTGGACACTTAAAACTAGGGTTTGGGACATTTTATATGCTGCAAAACAGTTGCAGGATGACACTTTATGTCTGTAACAAAATATAAAACATTCAAAGTATTTTAAATAGCCACTTAAGAGCTTAAAATGTGCTGTCCACGTATGTGAACACTCAGGCCCTAGGAGGTTATACTATAGAGTTAAAGTATTAATATTTGCAATTATTATTTGAAACTTGACTCAAAAATGCATTTAGGCTATTTACTCACAGCTGATTGGTCCAGTTTGGGTTTGAGATCTGTAACCCAGAATAAAACCACAAGTTACCATAGTGAAGAAACTGATCAACCCACTTTTTTGAGCCAGAAAAGAGTTTGCTCAAACTAAATGCAAACTTACCTGGGTAGAATCCCAAACTGGCATTATGCAACATTATGCAACAGGCCTCAGAAAGCAAGCAAAGCATGAGCTTTACAGGCAGAAAACAAGGACATTTGATCTTTTGGTTTGAAGGTTTAATATTACAGTTTTGATTGTTTCATATTATTTTCATATATCATAATAAGCAAGTTTCTCTCTATGCAGTTGATCATGCAGGACCAGGATGAGCATTTGGAGCTGGTCACAGGCAGTATCCGCGTCCTGAAGGACATGTCCAGCAGGATAGGAGACGAGCTGGATGAACAGGCAGTGTAAGCGAACAAATAACACCTTTTAAATTTTGAGTGATGCATTACATCAGTTTTACTGCTTATGAGTGCACAGGATAGCAAGCATTAATGAAAATAATGTAGATGGCAACTATGATTCTGATCCTATTCAACACAGAAAAGTATGAATAGCTTATTCTGGTGCACCTTTTCACAAAATGACAATAGGCAGAGAGTGTTGCTGATCTTTTTGTGGCTGTTTGACTGCAAATCTAATCGAATGTGTTTTGATTAACTCTGTAAACATCCAATTGTGGACAATCTTGAAATGTTACATCTGTATTTAGTATGATTCTCTTTTAATCAAATGAACAAAAATGCATCTTTTTTGTCCTAGTATGCTGGGTGAGTTTAATGAAGAGATGGACCAGACCGGTTCTAGAATGGACTCGGTGTTGAAGAAAATGGAGAAGGTTTCACACATGACCAGCAGTGAGTGCTTTGATTTGATTTGATCTGTTTATTTATTTTGAACAGAAAAATAATACACAGAACACACAACTTCAAACAAAATACATGGTTGAAATAGAGCAGGATTAAGCACAAGCGTATTATTTTCCCCATCCCATTACCACACACATTATTCATCTATTACTTCAGCTTATTTCTTCTTTTGTTTATCTCTTCTTTTTACATGAGACATATTTGATCCTTTTAGCATATTTAATACATTATATGTTTGATTCCATTTGTACATTTACATTTTAAAACATAGACCCATAGTACTGCAAACAGCCATTAATTGGGATTTCATCATACCCTTCTCAGTTTGTTCACCTCTATTGATCATTATATTCCTTTAATAATATATATTTATACAACTCTTTAAATTGATTAATATCCTGACATTGTTTGAGGGTCTGTTCCAAAATTTCACACCACATAGACAATTTTTCATAAGTTGTCCTTTTTTCCAACCTCCTAAGATTTCGTTCCTCTCTCAGATTATATCTCCCTTCACACATTACTGTGTTATTTTGTACTCATATTTTCAAGTTTATCATATGTCGTATCTGTCTATAAAGTTTATTTCTACATTATATGTAATGGCATAGAGCAGCACGGTGGTGCAATGGGCAGCACAATCGCCTCACAGCAAGAAGGTTGCTGGTTCGAGCCTCGGCTGGGTTAGTTGGCGTTTCTGTGTGGAGTTTGCATGTTCTCCCCGTATACGCATGGGTTTCCTCCGGGTGCTCCGGTTTCCCTCACAGTCCAAAATAACATGTGGTATAGGTGAATTGGATAAGCTAAATTGTCCGTAGTGTATGTGTGTGAATGAGTGTGTATGGATGTTTCCCAGCGATGGGTTGCAGCTGGAAGGGTATCCACTGCGTAAAACATAGGCTGGATAAGTTGGCGGTTCATTCCGCTGTGGCAACCCCAGATTAATAAATGGACTAAACCAAAAAGAAAATGAATGAAGGAATGTAATAGAATAGTTAATCCAAAAAGAAAACAGTTGCTCACTATTTACTCACCTTCAAGTGCTAATAAATCTTTTATTTCCTAATTTTTTCTGTTGAACAAAACGATAATATATTTTGAAGAATGTTGGTACCTGGTAACCATTAACATCCAGATCTATGTGGTTTCCAGCATTTTTCAGATTATCTTTTTATTTTGTGTGTTCGACGAGACAGAAACCTTGTTCAGAACATGGAAGGAGAGTAAATTATGAAAGAAATTAAATTTAGGTGAACTATCCCTTTAATGGTATATTATTTGATATTTTATACTGATATATTTGTATATGATATAAAACATTGTGTACCACAGCTTTCATATTTTTTATATATTAAAATGTTCTGTTTAATGATTGTCATTCATTTTTAGTCTATTTACAAAACACATATTTTAGGCATATTAATAACGCATTTGATGACATATTCACATTGACATCCTTTTTATTATTTAAAAAAAGATATTATAATCAGGGCTTGACACATTTGACACATTTTTAAAAAATATATTTATCGTATTAATAATAGTAATATAGTATTATTAATAAATAATTAGTTCGGTGTGGCCAAAGAGAAAAATGGTAAATTCTTCGCAGTAAGGCCTAAAAAGTCATGTGAAATAAAAACAAAAAAATTAAGGAGGCATGTGGATATAACACATAATTTAAATCAAGTAATTTTGCCATGCCAACATCAAATTTATGCAAATATATTTTCCCAACCACAAAATTGAGGCTAGTGAAAATGGCGAGTACCTATAACATTGGAAAACTACTAGCCACAGTGGCTGGTGATCAAAAAAGTTAGTTAGGCCCTGATTAAAATATAAAAAAATCTCTGTCAGTCAGTATTTTTTGCCATAATTCCTTTGAAAAAATGTTATAAAGAACAGCATTTATTTGAAATATAATATTGTAAACAACAATCAGTTACAATTCAATGTATCTGGCGAGTTAAAGTATTAAAAAATCATTAACCCTTTAAAATAATGGTCATTAGTTAATGTATTATCCAACATGAACAAACTATTAGTGATCCATTTATTACTGTATTTATTCATATGTTCGTTAACATTATTAAAGTAAATTATTTAATAAAAAATAATAAAAGTTAATTATAGTTGTTATTTAACTATGATTAATTAATGCTCTCCAAGAATATTCATATTTGATGGTAATAAATACAATAACTAATGGACCATTATTCTTAAGTTCTACCAAAATAAATTTCTGTATATTTTAAAATATATTTTATTTATGTATTTGTTTATTTATTTGTATTTTTTAATTGTATTTATTTTTATTATTGTTTGTATTTATTTATTTTAATAAAAACAACAGCTTCCAAAACAGGTTTACATGTTAGAATTGCACTCATGTATTTCTATAGTTTTGAAGGATTTCATAAATGAGTGTGTGACTGATTGATGTGTTTTGTGTGCGGCAGGTCGGAGACAGTGGTGCGCTATTGGAGTTCTTGTCATTATACTGATCGTGGTGCTCATTTTGTTCTTCGCCATTTAAACCAGACACTTCTTCGGTTTGGCCTTCCATCATGCTGAAATCTTACAGAGGAAGACAGAAGTTTACCACGATTCTTCCATTATCCTTTATGAGAGAGATGTCGAGAGTTATTTTTTATAGTCCTTTTCACCTCATCTTGTCTTCAGTAACCCACATCGCTTCTCCTGTTTTTGGGTGGACTCTGCAAGGTCTGTTCCAGCATTTCACTGGCGCCGAGGTGGAATTTAACAGTTATTATTATGTTCCTTATGTTTTAATGTGGTACAGAGTGCATGTGGGGCTGGGGAATTTGATATTGCCTTATTATATTTTTATATGTTTGATTCTGACAGTGCAGTCATTGTGAAAGTTATATATCAATATACTCATTGTGTGCTGATGGGTGGTTCACCAAATATTTAACAAAGTAAATGTTGTTTTTTAAAGTAATCAACCCATAACGAGCACAATGAGTCAATGCAGTCTTATAGCGCCCTCTAGATTTCTAGATCGACATACCAAAGTTAAAGGGATAGTTCACCCAAAATTGAACATTCTGTCATCATTTACTCACACTTCACTAAATCAAAACATTCTGAGTTTCTTTAAACACAAAAGGAGATATTTTGAAAAATGTGGGAAACTAGTAACCGTTGACTTCCATAGCAATTTTTTTTTCTTAGTATAGGAGTCCCAGCAACCAGTATTCTTATATACGTTGATTTTTAATATCTTTGAATTTCTTTAATAATAATAATAATTATTATTATAATAATAATAAGTTTAAATATTCTTTTTGTGTAAACAAAGTCATTTTCATTTTTTGGGTGAACCAAGTTAAAATTTACTCACCATCACCTTTAAAGAGTTACTTTTTTCTGTTGAACCAAAAAAGGGGTAGACTTTTAACATTACCTCCATAGGAAACTAAATACTATGGAAGTCAATGGTTACAGGTTTCCAACATTTCTCAAAATCTCTACTTTTGTATTTAATAGAAAAATATCAACTCAAACAGGTTTGGAACAAATGGAACAATGACAGAATTTAAATTTTTGGAACATTCTGTCATCATTTACTCACACTTCACTTAGTCAAAACTTGTTTGAGTTTCTTTAAACACAAAAGGAGATATTTAGAAAAATGTTGGAAACCTGTAACCATTGATTTCCATTGTATTTTTTTCATACTATGGAAGTCAATAAGTCCCAACAACAAACATACTTATAAATGTTGGTTTATAATATCTCAAATAATAATATGTTTAAATATCTTCTTTTGTGTTTAATAAAAAAAATAATTAACTCTCATTTAAAACCACATGAGGGAGAATGAATGTAGAAGAGGTCATTTTATTATTTGGGTGAACAAAGTTAAAATGTACTCAGCCTCACCCTCAAAGAGTTACTTTTTTCTGTTGAACCAAAAAACTGGTTTTGAAGAATGTTAGAAATGGGTAAACATTTAAAATTACCTTCATAGGAAAAATAAATATTATGAAAGTCAATAGTTACAGGTTTCCAACATTTTTCAAAATCTCTTCTTTTGTGTTTATAGAAAAATATCAATTAACACAAGTTTGAAATAAGTGAAAGGTGAGTAAACAACAGAATGTTCTCTTTTTTTCCCCCATATCAGAGTGAATGCTGGCTTATAGCGCCCTCTAGATTTCCAGCTGGCCATACCCAAGTTAAAGGGATAGCTCACACAAAAATGAACATTCTTGGCATTATTTACTCACACTTCACTTGTTTAAAACTTTTTTGAGGATATATTTTGAAAAATGTTGGAAACCTATAACCATTGACTTCAATAGTAATTGTTTTTTTCATACTATGGAAGTTAATGAGTCCCAGCAACTAACATTATTATGAATGTTGGTTTATAATATCTTTAATAATAATACATTTAAATATCTTCTTTTGTGTTCAATAGAAAATAATAAACTCTCATTTTAAAAAAAATACGAGGGAGAATAAATGTAGATGAGGTCATTTTTATTTTCTGTGTGAACTGACTCAAATTTACTCACCATCACAATCAAAGAGTTATTTCTTTATGTTGTACCAAAAGAGAGATTTTAAAAAATGTTAGAAATGGGTAAAAAGGAAAAACAAATACTATGAAAATTAATGGTTACAGGTTTCCAACATTTTTCAAAACCTCTTCTTTTTTTTGTTCAAACGGGTTTGGAACATGAAAGGTGAGTAAAAAGATGACAGAATTTTCCATTTTGGGTGAACTATGCCTTTTCTATCTGATGGAAATTAAATCATGAACTTTTTAAATTATCATTTGCTCTTTTATTCATGGATGAATCTCATCATTTGAGTCAACTCGTGGATAATTGGTTGCAAAAAATGGTCAAATTTGCTCACACTGACAATTTTCATAGATCTGCTTGTAAGTATTGGGATTTTTACTCATTTTAAAATCAGATTTTATGCATTGCTTTTAAGATTACTGTATATTGTTATTGCGGCGGATTTGTATAGAGTCATTTGGACACACTGTGCATTTTGATGGATTAAGTCACAATGATATTCCATACTTCTCCATCATTTTACTATTTTCACTAATTAACTGGTCTTTTAAATGCAGTAAAAGCAGCAACATGCATGTTCTGGAAGTCGCATTTTATTTTAAGGGGGAGAGGCTCACCAAAAAATGGATCTTTGCTTTTGATTTACTCACATTTTACATTTAAAAAGATTTTAAGCTGATGATTTCATTTTTTGGTGATTCATAAAATGACATTTTCAAATATCAGCACTTTTAATAGTCAAAAAAGCACACAGACAAAACAAAATGTAATAGGTGTGACTAGCTGGAAGGTAAATGAACAGCAATTTAGTTTCATTCTTAAGTAAACTCCCCCACTAACTGACAGCATCCCCTAAAGAGCTAATCAAAAGCTTCAGTTATGATTGTTACTTCATATTTGTGCTCCAGAACTCGGATCTAATATCGTGTGCTAACGAACATTTTGTACTCATATCCTCTGTGCCAATGAGTTTTTCTGAGATCTGAGTGTATAAGGACTCCAGGTGCCCGTGGGTGAATGTATTGTTCAAAACCAACGCTTTCCTCTCTTTCAGCTTTAGCTGAACTCGACTCATTTCAGTATTGTTTATTGTCATTTTATAATACAATAACGTATCCTAGCAACTCCGAGCATAAGATTTTCGTTGTGAGCCTTAAAAAGTCAAATACAACGTCTGCCATCAAAAAGTGGAACAAGGGATGAAAATGAATGACCTCTTTCATGTCCTTTTAGGGAAATTCGGTACTCGTTTGATGTTCTTTCAGTTGTAGAGGAAATAAATTTGCTGCCTACATGAATGACTGCATTTCAGTCCAGTTCTAATGCCCGTGTCATTAGTTTTTGTAAGCATTTGTATTATATAAGACTTTTGGCTTTATTTTGGCGTCTTGATAAATCCAAATGGTTCCCGAATAAAGTATATGCATTTGACATGCTGTTTCTTTTGTTTCTCAAGTTTATAAGCATCACAATGGACTAATGTCATGGCTAGAATATTTTTTAAAGAAAAAACACTACAAGCAAAACTATCGTTTTGTTCATGAATAAGAGTTTTTGGGCTAATTTGCTTTTACAATATGTCTCAGAATAGTAGGGGGATTTAAACCACAGTTTTATGTAGTTCACTTCATATTTTTGCATCTGTAGATTTCAGTTTAAATGGCATGGTTGTTGGTACCAGAAGGGCTGGTCTGAGTATTTTAGAAACTGCTGATCTGCTGGGATTTTCACGCACAACCATCTCTAGGGTTTACAGAGAATGGTCTGAAAAAGAGAAAATATTCAGTGAGCGGCAGTTCTGTGAGCCCAAATGTCGTGTTGATGTCAGAGCAGAATGGCCAGACTGGTTTAAGCTGACAGAAAGGGAACCATAACTCAAATAGCCCCTTGTTACAATGGAGGTATGCAGACAAGCATCTCTGAATGCACAACCAAATGAACCTTGAGGCAGATGGGCTACAACAGCAGAAGACCACACAGAGTACAACTCCTGTCAGCTAAGAACAGGAAACTGAGGCTACAGTTCGCACAGGCTCACCAAAATTGGACAATAGCAGATTGGAAAAACGTTGCCTGGTCTGATGAGTCTCGATTTCTGCTGTGACATTCGGATGGTAGGGTCAGAATTTAGCATCAACAACATAAAAGCATGGATTCATCCTGTGTAGGGGATATTTTCTTGGCACACTTATTGTTAACGCCACAGCTTACCTGAGTATTGCTGACCATGTCCATCCCTTTATGACCACCGTGTACCCATCTTCTTATGGCTACTTCCAGCAGGATAACGCTCCTTGTCATAAAGCGCAAATCATCTCAGACTGGTTTCTTGAACATGACAATGTACTCAAATGGCCTCCACAGTCACCAGAGCTCAATCCAATAGAGCACCTTTGGGATGTGGCGGAACGGGAGATTCGCATCATGGATGTGCAGCTGACAAATCTGCAGCAAATGCGTGATGTTATCATGTCAATATGGAACAAAGTCTCTAAGGAATATTTTCAGTACTATGTTGAATCTATGCCACAAAGGAGTAAGGCAGTTCCGAAGGCAAAAGAGGTCAAACCCGGTACTAGTAAAGTGTACCTAATAAAGTGGCCGGTAAGTGTATAATACAACATACTTTTTTTTTCTTTCTTTCTTTTTCTTTTTTTAAGTAATGTCTCAGAATACTACAGGCAATTAAACTAGTTTTATATAGAACACTTGATATTTTTGCATTTGTAGATTTCAATTGAAATGTACGAAAATGTATTTTCTCCAATTTTTAAATTTGCCCTCAACACTACTTTATTAATATATTACAACATGAAGCAAAATTTTACTAGAACAAAAAACAAAAATTTTAAAAACCTGTGTATTTTTCCTATATCCTTCAAAATAGGGATGCACCAATACAGAATTTTTGACATTCGGATAACCAATATCTCCTTAGATTTGGGAGCAAATACCTGATATATGAGCCACTAAATATAAACATTACTATAATATAGTATTTTTTCTGCATCATTACAAAATAAAAAGTGAACAGAGCGAACAACTGATTTTATTTTAAAGCTTAAACTTCAAAAAAGTTTGCACTGATGCTGAACTTTATTCTTTTCTATGTTAACTTAAATTAAATTAATTATTCTTTTTTTGTTAAATTTAAATTTAATTAACTACTCTTTTCTGTGTCATAGTTTCTTTCATATAAATAAAATCTACTGCCTGACACAAACAAAAAAAAAAGCAACCATGTCACTGAACTCTTATTAAAATAGCAGTAAAATAACAATAAAAAAGTGTCATGCAGAAAACACATGAAGTGGTTCAACCAGAGGAAATATTATCTAAGTTATTGACAAATATATCAGCCTGATATAGTTAAAGGGCTGATGACAATACCTTTCATGAGCTGATTTCATAAAGTTTGTTATCAGCTTATGCTGAATAATGATAGAACATTATGATTATACATTCCTTTTGCTTGTAAATTAAATTCTGTTTATTCCCTTTTATATTTTATAACACTGAAATTAAGTGTCTTTAATAAGCTCAACCACCA